GAGCACCCCTCCCCGCACCCTCCATCACCTTACATTTGTCTAGATGCCGGTCTGTAGGACAAATGGGCAAGACGTGAACTATTTGTACATGCAAGTAATGGGGCAGCGGTTGTCACATGTAAATTATTATCATTATCATTATTATTTTATTCATTTGCATTATTATATTGATTGTTATCATTATTACTGTTAGTAATGTACTCGCATATCTTTTCGTTCAGATTTTTTCGTGCTTATTTATTATAAACTGTAGTCGAATTGATCTGATCACCTATGAGAGTTATCATCAGCAAATCATTCTGGAATTGACGGTTAACTTTTTGACATAGAGTTAGTTTTAACAAACACGGATTTATTTGTGCCCTATAATTACCAGGAAAAATTACTATACATGGTCATATAGGCAAATGCAAGACTTTGGCAGAGGTATGGTGCTAGAAAATTTTGCTTCAGGATAGGAACAATTCGGGATGATTCCCCTATACCCTAAGCAAGCATAAAATTTATACCAGCTAACTTGTTGGGGGAGGGCGCTGACATAAGACTGCCCGCGATGTACGGTTTTAGGTCAAAAGGCTTACACAGATTTGAACTTGATGGAAAGTTTAAATTTAATCAGACAAAAAGATTGTTTGTCTGTGTACAGCTGCTCCCTCGGCTGTACATAGGCTAAGAGATTGTTTTAAACCCTTCGTGGCGCTTGATGTTACCAAACTTTTTCCACTCTACTTAAAAGATTCTTAAAATCATCACCGCGCGCTACATATTCTAAATGACGATAATTTGCGTCATAAAGGGAATTCACAAAGTAAAATCTTCGGCGAAGTTTCGCCTGGGAAATATTATGTAAGGAAAAGAGAAAAAAAATCAAGGCTTGATGACAACGTGAAGAGAGATTAACCCGATTAAGGTTAGTAAACGCCTTTTCTAGAGGAATCAAATATAATCAATGCCTATAAATGTTTTAATTTTTCGCAAAGAGAATTCACATTGTTGAAGTTCGCGTCATGAGGAACACCTAGTAAAAAAATTAAAGAAAGAAAAAATATTGCCCGAAAAAGTGCTCACAATTGCTCACAATATAGAAGACCAAAGACCAAATAAGCGTCAGATTCATCTAACTTGGAAGGATTTCCGGTAAAGGGAAATTTTCAAATTGGAAGGGGAAAAATTTGAGGGGGAAAAAGTTTGTTTGTTTCACAACACGAGCGCGAAACCATTACGTAATCGTTAGCCGTTGTTTTTTTTGCGCGCGCCATTTTGACCTGAGAGTCCTCATTGGTTCAGTCAGCAGTGCGACAGTTCGTGAGCAATTTCGACCCTAACCTCGCAGTTTCTTCCACGTTCAACGGGCCCAGTCATCAGGTCAACCGATCTTTGTTCCCCCTAATTAAGAATTTGCAGATCACTTCACTGTTTGATAACAAATTGGTTAGAAGATACGACTTTTCAAGCGTTCCGTGAGATTAATCAAAAAACCTGAAATGTGCCGTTTGCCGTTTTTCCTCCCCCGTGTGGCATTTTATAGGCACATTTGGTTGTTTTTTAGCGCAAAAGTGGTTTTCTCTAGTTTGTGGATACCAGGGCAGATGCCCCTCCCGGTACTTAACCATGTTAACTGTCGTTTGAATTTTACAACAAGTGTACGTAAATGGTTTTTGCGTAAATGCATTTCTGTGACGTATAGGAGACGAAAGGGCAGGAGAGACTCGCAACTCACTATAACCACGTGACCCGAAATTCATCGGCTGCTTGCAATAATGAAACTTAGGGACTAAGCAATCGTCAACCAACGAATGACGGTAGTAGCTACAAAACTGAAAAGCTTGAAAAGCAGGTTTTCTTCATCCGATGCGTAGGACAGACTTCACCGTTTGAAACAACATGATTATCCAACAAAATCAGAGTGATTTTTTTAGAAGGTTTTATTTAAATGACTGCTCAGACAAAGCTCTATTTCTTAGACATTATCTCACAGTTATAAACTTTCGCTATTTACATTTAGATTAAAAATGGATTACTTGAAAAAGGTTTTAAAAATACACAGTTAAATGTTGTTCAGTTCGATTAAAATGCGATTTTTCGTAGAAATTTTAAAGTAAGATGGCATAAAAGGTGGTAAAAATGTAAAATAACCTATACAAAGGAAAATATAACCGTTGCAATTAAAAAAGTACTGATTAAAGGAACAAAAAAGTAATAAAACAAACCAAAAAATAACCATTTGAAAAAGAAATAAGGTTCTCACAACCATTCTGTCAATTTATTTTCTTGGAATAGAAATAAGTAGAAGTGTCAAGAAAGGATATGCAATATTAATAATAAAAAAAAGTCGTATTCCAGAAAAATTAAAATCGAACAAACAAACAAGCAAACCTAATCTGATGAGAAACAAATTGATAAAATTGGTATTTACAAGACTAGGAAATGTACTGACTTGCTTTGGTCAGTTTATTAGTTGTTGTTTGGAGTTATTTCTGTTCCTATCTTCTCCAATTACTCACTAAGAGATATAACTATACATCAGCCCCGAGGGGGTACTACCTATAATGGCCTGTACGGGGAGGCTCCGCCCGAAAGGGGTACCATATTCAGGCTTCAGTTAGATGAAAGGGTAGGATTTCCTTACTACTGTAGTTGAATTATGTGAAAGTGTTGGGAAATCTGTCATTTGGGTCTGTAAAAAGGCCCAAAAGAGTAAACGATGCATTTTGTGACTGTGAAGAAGTCGAAGAAGAGTTGTGGTTTTGACAGTGATTTATTCATATTTTATAGACAGTGCATTTTTAGCAATCAAAAGAGATGCAAAATTCCTAACTAAGTATGTGAAAAAGGTACCATTTTTAACTGAGAAATATACGAAAGGGGTACCTTTTCTGCCAAAAATGGTATATAAAAGGGTGAGGGGTTGAACATCGGGGCGGTGGCTCCCCGTATTGAACTTTGTTGAGTACCCCCAGATATCAGCCCTTTGAAACTGTACATTTACCAGACATAATCATTTCGGTTTCTTACGATATAAAACACCCTGAAGAATGAAAGCAGAAATATACCCTAAATACTAAGTTAAAGTAAAAACAAGGAGGAAAGCTCCCTTTTTATGAAAAATGTCAAGTTATAAAAAATTAAGGACTTGGCTTATCATAAAACTAACTTGCGCGATTTTCACGCTTTGAACTTAAATCGCTTGTACGCTTTTGCCATGAGTTCTGATTACATGTAGCATATTAATATTATTTACTCTTTTGTGAATTTCCACCTTAGTTAAGGAATACCGTTCCTTTCGTCCAGGAATTACAATTTAGTTATTCACGAAGTTTTCGCGAACGACTTCATAATTGCTAAAAATCATACCGGAAAGACTGAAACCTCTGCTAGCAGCAGGGTATAAAGAGCGCAGCAAGATTTTATACAAACGTTAAGATAGAAACCTATTCAAAATCTCGGCAAAATACAATGATCAAGCTGAAAATAAAGAAAAAATGTGATGCTTAGAAACTTCGCTTTTCTGAGCAAAATTTAAAACACTCAATTAAATAACTAGAAAATAGAAGTATGCAAACTATATACACTTAAAGTTTCTGTACAAATCGTTTACAAATTCTTTCTCTGGATATATAATGGCCCTTCCGTGGTATTGCTCATTGGTTGCAAGCAAGTTAAAAAAAGGTTCTCCTCCACAAAAGTTACTGAAATTATATTTCTCGTCAAGGCCCCAGTTGTTCAAACGTTGGATAGCGCTATTCATAGGATAAATCTCTATTTAACGGATAAGTATTAGGGAAACCAATTCCATTAAATTTGATCAATAAATTTTAATACTTTAATTGTCCACCCCTTTATGGGGCTTTTCAGGGATAATCAAAGAAATAATTTGAATAGAACATAACATGGTTGAATTCCCAACTGGTAGAAGGCGAACCAGTTGGCAATACTTTACAAGTGTGGCAAAGGATTGGAAGGTCTTTGAACTCTGACTACTAATAACCGATAAGGCATAGAATGAATTCCACGTTAAAAGGGAAGTCATGTCAAGAACGTAACGATCTTAAGGCCATTTTGGCGTCGGAAAGTTTCGAATTTTCAATGTGCAAATGTTCCCCATTTGAAGAAACACGTTTTGTGACGTCATCAGTAGCGGGAAATGACGTGAGGGTATATAACGCTTTTATTTGATCAAACACGTCAAGTGTTAATTCTTGTAAGTTTCAAGACTGGAACAATCTTGTTCTTACGAGCTGCTAGAGTAATGTCTTAAAAATCTGCTGGGAGTCCTCTGTATTAAAAAATCCAAACCTTAATAAACTTGAAGCAAATGTAACCGTCAAGGTAGGACTTGAACTCGGGGCCTCTAACCACTCAGCCACGTTGCCTGTTGCGTTATTTCGTGGATAGAGATTTATCCAATGGATAGCGTTATTCACCTTTTGAACAACTGGGGCCTCAGGGAGATTACTTGGGACCTTTCAGGATAAAATCATTCCACTTAGCTTTTAATTAGTACTGGTAGTATCAGAGCCAGCCAGAAATCGAAAAGTTGTGGGACATCTTTCAGCCTTATATATTCACAGTTAAGACTCTCCTCAATCGTCTTTGCTTTTAAGTCAAAGATTGCGACTACACATAGGAAATCCTGAATGCCATTTACGATATCGGTTTTAAACTTACAGATCTATGGATGAATCTATTGTACGCTGTTCATAACAATATTAAATAATTCGTGTGTGTGAACTAATTAAACAAAATTTTGATCAGGACTAGAGCCTGCATGTATATGAAATTCTAGAATACGACTAAGCCAAAGCTATGTGGTAGTTGTGTTTTCTTTTTACAATTCGTGTATTTACAAGTCAATTTATATCTTCTCGATAAGTTGCTGAAGATACCGTCTCTGATGATGTGTAACTAGTACTTTCTATGCATCTTAGTTAGCAACTGGAAGTTGGAGATTGGTCATGAAAGGTCTGTAGGGCGCTCAAAAATTGAAGGGGTATTTCTACTTAACTCGATTTGAACATATCGCAGAGCATTCGCTCGATAGGAACATTGTCAAGGGCTCCTCGGAAGAACAGATCTTCAATCATCTTTGGACTGACCGATCGTAGAGAAGGAAGCATCAATAGTAGTTTGCCAAATCTGACTTGTTGATCAGGAGTGTGACTGCGGCAATATTCCCCAAGCATTGCTTGAGCTTGGTCCTGTAGTCTCTCTACCATGTGCGGAGCGCGGAGGCCTCTCAAGTCTACAAAGGAGGGTGAAAAGTTTTATTAAAATCTCTTCAACGAAGCCCTAACTTGGAATTGAGTTGCAGCTCTTATTTAAATTCAGATCTGTTTCCACTCCAGCAAGTGCTAATATTATTTCTGGGAACTCGAGGACGAATTTTTTAAAATTAAAATCTGTAATTATAATTTAAGAGGGTCGGGAGCACTTTTAACGCAGCCCAATTTTAATTTAGAATGGCGGCATAAATCAGTCTCATTTTTGGCAGCAAAACTTTGGAATTCTCCACCTACGTATGATAGAAACGTCAAGGATATTTTCACTTTTAAACGTCTTTTAAATATGTTTTAACGAGTTTTCATCACTCCTAGATGTAGCGTGGGTAAATAATAAAGTATTGTATTGTCCATGGACTAGGTTGGTCCGTCACAGTGTGGAGCTCTCCTGAGTACAGTGTGGGACTTATTTAGGCCATTATCAATCTTTGGAAATTAATCTGTTTTAGTCATCTTTTGCATAGTCAAATTTATCGAAAATGACGTCCTTATTTTACTCATCGCAACCCCCAGTTCTGGGGCTATAGCAAATGCTTATGATTTACAGACAAAGTAATGTTGTGGTTCAACTTCCCTTGGTTCCAATTTTGTTTTTCTATATTTCAAAGTCGTTAAAGTTCATTACCATACCAAAAAAATGAAAATGGAATTCCAGTGAACCCCGGATAAAATTAAAGTACAAGAGATATATAAAGCCCTGAACACATCTCGCTTGATCACACAAAAAATTTTGGGTGTCTTCAGATAGGTAACCGATCAAGTGTTTCCCCCTTGAATTTCGAATTCTACTAATAAGTTAAGGAGTTAGATGAAGAACAACATTGGACGCTAGATGTCCACCGAAATAATGTCTTTCTATACCTTGTTATGTACAATGTTCAGAGTAACGGAAATTTAAACATTCCGGTGCACTTGCTTATTTTTTGAGGTGATATTACAAATATTATACTTGACTACATTAATTCAAGCTCATCTTCCACAAACACAAGCCAACTTACCTGGTTTGAACAACACAATAGCCTTCAAGCACGCGTATTCAGTAGAATCGATCTGTACTCGCTTGAACCTGGCAACAACGTTCTGCAGTAGTCTGATGTCGGCCATTCCTGCAACAATCTTATCGGTAGGGGCTTTATCTACTTGCAGCCCAGCAGCAGAGAGGAGCGGCCCCATGTCCACAGGTAGAGAGAACTGGGCAGCACTCAGAACAAACAACTCGCTCCAGCACTCCTCCAACAAAATTGCCTGATCCCGGAATGGGAGATCCAAGAATGTTGGGATATTTCTCGCCCACGTGACTGACATATATAGCAGTTGTACCGCGGATTCGTATAGCGATTCCGGGGAAGGCTGAAAAACCATAGGTGGTCGTTCGGAAGTGTCCTCTTTTACTTGGTTGGGATTCGAATGCGCTGTGCTGGGCGAAGACTGGGAGCTGTTGTCTTTAGTGTCAATCATGCTTGTTATCGAGAGAAAACTGCGCTTTTTAGTGGAGTCTGGAGACTGATTGTTGTTCTGGCCGTGATAAGGGCGGGAGGCTGGGGGAGAAAAGCGAGTGTGTTCGCTGGGTCTTGTGTGATTCACTTCTGACGCAGGACTGCGCTGGCGTTGAGGACCATCACTGGGGTCGCTCTTGGTGTATGCGAACTGCTGCTCAGGAGCATGCGCTGTCGGCTGGTCGTATACTCCACCGAGCATCGAACACGCAGGTGCCATAGAGACAACCTGCGAGGAGCGTGGGGCGCGCTCGTGTTGGACCGCTGAGGAAGAAACAAGAGTACTTTTAAATGCTTGTATATAGGGATCGGGTGTAAAGGATAAGAGGCCGTTGCTAACTTTAAGGATGTCTTAAACAGGTTAAAGCGTTGCTATGGAACCGTTTTAGGTCACGAAAAAGACTCGGAGATTCACTCCATTCTTTTGTGGCATTGCGCGACAAAAATTGATTTATAATCAGAAGACTATCATAGTAATAAAAAGATGCAACACTTTTATAGCCACCATAAAATACTAAGAAGACGTTGTTAATCCAAATGCAAGCAATTTCATCTTCTTCATTTAGCTATTTGTTAAGTGTCGTTCACATTTTACCCCACAGAAAAAAATGAGTTGAAAACAAAGCTCCCGACAGCTATTTAATTTCACTTTTAAAAAAGGGCTGAAACCGACCCACGTAACTTTTATAAACATTTGTATGGAGTCAGATTGGGATATTAAAAATTCACAAGGTAATTAGAATGAATTCGCTGACTAAAGACTGACTTCTGAAATCAAAATAAGCGTATAAGCGAGAATGGAAATGTCTAAAACTCTAAAATAAGGTTATTTAAGTATTAATTCATTGATTTATTTAAGTTCTCTTAGTTTTGTTTAGACACATTTAACATCAACCAATAAGGAAATGTTTCCGGGAATTCTTTTAGCCCCATTTTCTCACTCGACATTTTGCCAACACATGGTATCGCAGCAAATAATACTTATAAAAAACTACAGTGAGACCTCGATGTAACGAACCTCTATGTAACCAAGTCCTCGGTAAAATAAACGATATTTTTTACCCAGCAATAGTAAAATACATGTATATGGAATAGAACCTCGACATAACGAAACCTTGTTATAACGAACAGATTTTGTAAGTCTCTTGGCCCTTGGTCGTATAAGAGCAGAACACAAGTAACTAAAGGTGCGATAAATTGGGCGACAAAAAAACGTGCAACTTGTCTTGTAAAATTGCTGCAAAATAAGTTGAATAGCGATGTTACGCTTTTTACTACCCACGCCAAACCTGTCTCGCAACAAATTGGGTTTTAACAGGTCACGAGGGTGGTAAAACGCGCACCATCGCTGTTGTTGTCGCCCGTTTTACCGAAGCTTAATTCTCGCACAAGAGTTTCCTTTTCAAAACTAATTTTAAAAGAGCTAGGTCAACAATTCGTGAACTGAAAAGATTGTCGTTTAATTTTAAATCTTCCTTCGCAAAACTAATATTTTGAGGTTTCCAAACAATCAACTCAGTTAGGTATACATTCGAAAATGTGGCTCAAAAATTCTCGCGGGGGTCCTTTGAAGTACAACTTAGTGCGTGATCTGTGCCTTCAATGATATTGTCCAGTTCATATATTGCGTAATCAGGACTTATCAAGAACCAATCACAATGCTCGTTTTCATCACGTAGAGTTGATATGGGATATCGTATACTTTTTGCGACGTAGTGTATCGCTTAAAGGGAAAAAGTACCTGAATATTTTTTCCCATCTAAAATTTTTAAAACAATTTGCAAGTATCTCAAACAAACTTTAATTGTTTGTCGAAAGCCTTTAGAGAAATTGTCGACATAAATAGCTAAAATAAACTTACAGAAAGGAGTTTGTGGCAAACTTCTTTTCACTGTCGTGTTAAGATGCATGTTTTAACTGCGAGTAAACCGATGTTCAAGAAGGCTTTTCACAGCAAAACGTACGCAAGTGGTAGTTTCATTTTGAGGAAGATGACCGAATATTAAGTTATGGTGAAAAACCAAACAAACACCAAAATTAATGCTCCTTTTTGTCGGAATGCCAAAAAGCCAGTAAACTTGGCCTTAATTGTCTTGAATTATGGACATTTAATAAAATGGTTATCCAAAAACACAAACATTCGAAAGCAGCCCACACACCACTAAGTTAAGATCGAAAAGAACGCTTTAAACCACAATACACACTTTCAATTTCTTGAGAGTTAATCTGGAACAATGTGAGTGTATCCTGCGAAATATCTTTAAAGTGGATCGAGCAATCTCCATGAAAGAGCGTGTTTTATTCATTAGAAAGATTTTTTGGAAGTTTAATTTGTCAATTTTTGGCTTAGATTCAGCATTTTTTGATAAAGACAATGCAATACATCGATCTAAAAGAAGATAATTTGTTTTTAGATTATTTTGTCTTGATCTAAAGTCATGATTTGAACAATTTTGCCTGGTCGCTGTCAAAATCTCTGAAGATTAGTTTATTCAAAATGCCTCCAGGCCCTATTGACTTTCAAGCTCTGCTTCTCATTTTGTCCAAATCTGCAAATAAAGCTTGCTCTTGAAAATGCTGAAACGTTTAAAGAATTCTTAACGGTCAAACGTTTTAGTGCAAGGGAGTTTCTTGAACAACAACACGTTTGGTAGTTGGTTCCGATCCGAATTTGAGTACATTGGGGATTCTTAGCACGCTAAAGTATTTAATAACCGCACCCTGTGAAATGTTGGGAATTGCCGTTAAACAAGCAACCATTTCCGATGCATTTTAAGATGATTCTGAATTTGGAGCTCACTTATGACGATTCTCAATTAGAGTATCGTTTGAACAAAAAAAGAATGTTAATGACGGATATAGTACTAGAAATGCGCGGATGTTGAAGCTGTTTATTATTAGCTTCCCCTTTTGCTTTTAATTAATTTGCAACATGACATTCTAAAGTTTGTCTATTGAGCATTTTTCTTAATTTTTGTACCCGTCTGGGGTTTAAAAACTAACTCGTTGCCCTTTGTTGGCTATGATAACATTTGTTTGCGTTAAAAGTTGAAGCCGCCACAGTCCCTCGATTCGATCACACTCATATGAATGAGTCAAACAAGACCGACGTAAATTATTAAACAAGACCAAGGGAACCCTAAGGTCGCCCAAAACCGCAGTTAAGACATATTTGTGTACCAGGGATGTTCCCCGCAAGTGACACTTTTTTGGCGCAGCCAATTGGCATTTTGAAGGTGACAGTGGTACGGTATTCATTTACTATAACTGAAAAAACAACATTAGGGGCATGTGAGTCGGTGACGAGAAAAGAAAACAGTTCTTAAGAAAACATAACAGAAATTTAATATATCTTAGCTCAGGCCCATTTAACGCAAAAGGATAATATAAAAGTGGAAATCTGCAATTTAGATTGCGTTAATTATAAATAAGACCTGCCGGTGAACTGTCGTTAGGGGCAGATGTTTTCTTCTGGCAAGGCGATCACAATTTTGTTCCTAGAAGGATTTATTGTTACTTTTCCAAAACGTACTGTTGATTTAATTAAATATTGTGAAAAGCTTTTACTTTAAAAAAAAAAAAAAACGATTTGTATCCTTTTTCTAGTCTATGATATGATATCCGAGGTTTTAAAAGGGAAACTTTGCCGCCGTTTTGTGTTGTGACAAAGGTGCTGATGAAATTGATAAATTTATCTATGATGGATCAGATTGCACACAGAGGTTCACATAATATACTTTAATTTGGTTCATTTGCAGAAACACAAGGTTGATATGCCTTTATTGATTTTATTTCTACTTTTAACATTTTTGCTAATTCACTGAGGGACGAACGACTGTGGAATCGAGCTATAAAGTTGAGCCGAATAAACAAACCATAAAGAAGCGACCAGATTTGTTCAGTACGCTTATGGCTAATTAAGACCTTTAAAAATAGACCCCTTTTTTGTGGAACTATTAAAACTTCACTAAATTACCCAGTGGGTAAATAAATTAACTTACAACTAATTACAAATTTATCCATTTGCAAGTTAACCGGTCCATACTGTACTGCATAGAGTATTACACGCCCAAGCGGGTTTATGTACACAAGGGGATTATGGCCTGTGAGCACTGCCCATAGTCAAAGGGACTTAGACGTAAAAAGATATACGTAAATTTAAGATAAAATTAACGACGAATCGAGCTTTACTGATAAAGTCCTTCCGCTTACCGTCTTTATTCATCTTAACTTCAAAGCACTTCTTTAATCTGCAGGCCTGGCACTGATTTCGTCGTGTTACATCGACCGTGCAGTTTCCGCGCTCTTTGCACTGATAGTTTAAATTCCGGCGTATTGATCGTTTAAAAAAACCGCGGCAGCCGTCGCAGGTGAACACGCCGTAGTGTTTTCCCGAAGATCTGTCTCCACAAACTTTGCACAAGATAACAGGCTTGCGCTCTACGGCTGCGGATGAAACGAGAAAACCCGTTAGACTACCGCTAAACTACAGTGGAAACTTTTACCTAGGTTTCAGCCAATCACAGTTTAATAACAACTATTGATGAGGGAAAATAAGTTGGTAGATCAATGATAAGGTTACTTAGGAAATTTCGCACAGACAATCGCTTGAGAAGCCCTCTTGTGCTGACATGATCAATTCGTGGCCTTATGAAATCAATGCGAGGCGAGACGACTGGGCATAATCGCAAAGATATCGAACGAAATTTATAATCCCCTACTCGCCAGACTGAAATCTCTCTAACTTTGTCTAAAACCCTTTGATTGCAATGCTTCAGAAGACTATAAAAAAGTTTAAGTATAGAATATCGTGAGGCCGTTTTGTAAAGAAACTCCTCACAGCCAGTCCTCGTTTGATGTTTTGCACGCGAATCAAAACAAACGAACGATGCCAGAAACACGCCTCGAAAAGCACCAAGCGAGCTGGGATTGCGACTAACTGGAAGTTAAATATATTTGTGAAACTATTTCTGGCGTTTTTCTTCCATAGTTACAAGAACATGAGCCTAATTAACTGCTTTTCAGGTGGGGCCTCACCTGAAACCCTTTGTGGTGCAAAGAAATGATTTTAGCCCCTCGTCTCACGTGTTGTTAACCACGGCATGAAAAGGCAATGCTGAGAACTTTAATTTAATACTAGAAAGCTTACCTTGCATGTTAAACTCCGTATCTATGGGCGGATGAAGAGGTGACCGGTCCATAAAAATTGTTATACGTGCCGCTCAGATTGGCAACACCTTGTTGAAGTTTACAAAATAAGCAGCTGAGGTGTTTAAACGATTTCACAAGGCAATCGGGCGAGTTAAGTCAACCCTATCCACGGGAATGAGATTTGACGTCCTTAATGAAACAGGTGCGAGCTTCTAACCGAGCTCTGATTGGTCACCAGTTTGTTATTGCAAAATATCCTAGCCTGTGATTGGCTGTAGTCGCGGAGGAAACTAAATGCTTTCGCTTCTCTACAAAGGGGAAGTTGCAATTACCCGCGTGCGATTATTGGGACGTTAAAGTACTTAAGCGTGCTACATTTCATACCATTAGAGGAAATAATCATTTTGTCCGGTATTTTATTGTCTTTTTGTCAAAAGCACATCGAAAAGTAGCAAATTCAGCCAAGAATCACCTCATCTTCTAATTCTTATGACTGTGAAGTCTTAGGTTGAATTTCTGTAAACTGAAAACGTTCAAAAACGACTAGTTAATACTAGCGAAACTTTAAGTAGCGTTCCTTTAAAAAAAATTTCCAAATTTTTAAAATCCGTTGTAGACATGCTCGCTGTCTAATCAGGTAAATTCTATGAACGCCAAAAGACGCATCAAGGATTAGAAACCACAAAACCAAAAGAACTTGGAATCTATTCATCATGACAGATTGTGAATGACTCAAAAACCCGGTCCAAGATCAATACTTTCCCGAACGCTTTGTTTACTTGACGTGCGAGCGGACAAAAGACGAAAGCAACAGCACGAAAAAGCCTGTTAAGGCACAAAGAGATCGAACACAATTTAAAACCGGTGGAATTTCTATTATAGCTCTGTTAAGAGGCACGTGCTGAGAATTGAATTCGGGAGGAACATTTACCGGCCACCTGTCAGATAACGCATCGCGCATGCGCACCTCCTGGTTCTTTGCATCGGGTAACGGGAGCAAAGCTGTAAAATATTTATACGAAGTCTTAAAACAGACGCAAAGCCTTAATCGACGAATGAATTCATTAAATTAGCCACACTGCCGCATTCAAAACAGATAGGCCACAGTTATACAAGATTAAACTTTACTAGTTTTCATTAGGCGATGTGGTTTTTGTACTTGGATGAAACGGTTGGAGAGTACAGCAATTGTGGTCGGTTTTTACGGACACTATTTTCCCACACGGGACGGAATAAATTTCTCCTTGGTGATCCCGCTGCCAAGCTATTTATTGTATTCTCATGCAAACAAACTTAAGGCGGTTATTATCCTAGAGCGCTAATGTCAAAGCAAACGTGACAGAAATATTCACAAACAAGGCAATTAAAATTTCTCTCGAAGGTGCAGATGTTGAATTCACTACGTTTGTGTTTCAGACTGTAATGTCAAATCGTATAAGCAGACTTGTGGTCACTGCGACCTTTAAGCGGTCAATACGGCCGGCCTTTAAACGCGGTCAATACGGCCTTTTAACTTTTTACTTCACCGTGAAAAGACTACAAGTATAGATGGCAAGGTGTCATATTTCCTTAAATAGCACTCCATTTGGCCCAGGTGCTAGCCTTTGGGAGTCGGTTAAGTATGATACAAAAATTTGAAGGAAAGACAGGGTTCAAACGGCAAATATATCAGTGACAAGTTAGTATAGATAAGAAAACAGGATTATTCTGCATTATGGCGAATGTTCCGTCATGGTACCTCCGAAAATAACCCGCGATTCAAACGCCCTTTTCAGGCTCTTATAAACGGAGGGGCTTATATTAGAAAATTGCGTTTCAAATTCTCATTGGCTTATTACTGGAGGGAATTTTTGTCCGAGATTTTCCACTTTACCGAATGATAATATTGGGGATTTGACGAAAGATCCTTCATTTTTTCATAATCCCTCTTAACGATGTTGCCAACTTCACCACTCACAGCAAGAAACTAAATTGAAAATGTACATATTTACCATCAATGACATACCAGTTTATAGTTTGTTTATACGATAGTCATTTGTTCTAATACTGTAGTTTCTCAGCTAAACGTTAGCGAATCCATGTTTAAAAAATCACGTTTAGTTAAAAAAGGAGTATCGGTGTGATTTATTATTCCTTATTTAAGGACAATTTCCAAGAATATGTAATAGGTATATTTTATACGAAGGAGCTTATTTTCGGAATTTTATTTGCCCTATTTTCAAGGCATTATTGAACGAGTTTGAGACAGTTTTACGTCGGTTAAACGACATATAACAGAGTTTCAACTTATTTTCTTGACAGGATTTTTCAGTGAGGCAAATCGGAAGCAGAAAGAGTATTGTAGTTTTGCACGCCATTAGCCAACTAATGGCTAATGACGAGTTACTAAAACAAGTTCTTGGTTATAACTGAGTGAAAAAATCTTGTCCTCTTAGTTTCAAACTTGAATGTATTCTAATCAGTTGCCATGATTTTCTGTGTTCAGTCATGAAATCGCCCATGCGCACTGCCTCGACTCTGACATCGGTATTTGAAGTAGCTAACAGTGCCTTAATTTTATTTTGTGGTGTTTTTATTAACAGTAACTTTATGAGCAGTTTTTCACGACGGTGCGTCCACAAGGGTGATATGATGTTTTGAGCAAAGTTAACTTCAGCAGAGAAACCAAAACGCATTGAGGCGTACGCGAAATGCGTAATAAGAACCGCTATTATTATTATGAAGATTTGTAAACAACTATTAGCAGCTATTGAGCACGTGATTTCAACATTTTTGTGCCTAGCAACGTTGACGAAATCGTTTGAAACCATATCGTCGTATCACTCGAAGTCCACATGGCTTAATCTCTTAGATGCTGATACAAAATGGACTGAATAGAATTATTGATAGAACACAATATACACTATGATAAAGAAAAAATCAAATCTGTTTGCAAAGCAAAAGTTGGCGGAATTGTCTGTGATGCCGATTAATAGTCAAAATACGCCTCCGGCAGCCGAAGTGTAAAACCAAAAGGTTTTGTCTAGTCGATAAAATCTGTAGTCGTTTAGGTTTGTTATTTATTGAAACAGATTAGTTGAAGGAACAAAATGTTTTTAAAATTTATTCTGATAATAGATTTAAGGAGCATATTTTGGAATCAAATCGCAGAAAATCCTACATAGATTTTCTGTTATATTGAGGGGAAGATGGAGGTTATTGAGCCTAGACCACGTCAGACTGCTAGGAAGCCCTCCATTTGGAGGAGTTGGGAGAGCCATACGTTTTCTTTTGAGGCTCGCTCGCAGGGTACAGCAAAAGTATGTAACACAGTAAACCCTGAACCTCTGTTGCGAGCGAGGAAAAAGAAAAAACGGAGTTGGCCATTAACTCTGAGAGTTATTCGATAATTTATCCTGTTTAAACAACAGACAGTCATACGGCTTTGGCTCAAGTAGACAACGTGGCCCGAAGAGAGTTTAACAATTAATCAGTTTACGGTAACCGATAAAGACCTTTAAAAGATACACAGCAACAGAATACGGGTACAGGTAAATTATCCTACCCGTTGTCTGAAATAGCGCTAGATTGCGTAGCTCATATCCCGGAATAACGGACAGGCTATGAGATCAGGCAGAACGATGATACTATTAACACAATAAACTGGGTTTTTAATTTTACTATAGCTACATGGAAACTTAATTATCTTTGTCTACCCACGCGTAAGCAATAACGGTGTATTTAGCACAAGGTGCCTATATAGTTAAAAGTGAAAAAAAAGTCGTTTTTAATATGATCGACCTAGTCGGCTTTCTCTAATCTACAAATTCAGGGCTTCGAAAATATGAAAAACGAACGCACAAAATATTTTAAATGGGAAAGTCAAGACTAATGAAGAGTCCACTTTGCCGCATAAGTAAGGCGAGCAACGCTAATCCATTATTCCTCATTAAAATGCGCAATTTTTTTTTTTCGTCGTGCGCTGACAAGCCAAATATGTATACAGCCTCCTACGAAACTTCAATGGGCACCGCAGTTTTATTCATTAACTTAAAAGTTTGCTCTTCGGTTTGAAGTACGTTCTAAAAAAAATCTTCATGTGTTTTGATTACTTCTTTTATCTGTCAAAATATCTTTCCCAAATTATCGCAAAAACGAAATTTAAGTTTAAATTCTATTCGAAGCGGTCACCAAAAATGACCAGCTTACGAGTGGCTTGCTGTGGCCTATCCAACAAAATTGTTTGTATATAACTTTTGAAGAAATCATTGGAGTAATATTGCAAGCTCAGACGAAAATCGTTGCATAAGACAAGAGCAACACCTTAATGTCTGAGAAAGTTCGATTTTTTTGGGTAGTATAACTGTAAACAATAAACCTTTATAGTACAAGAAAGCTATTTCAACGTGCTAACTGTCATGTAGGACATGGATCTTGTTATTCGACTGATTAATTTTGATTCCCTCCTGATATTTTTTATATAATTGTTTTCCTTAATTTGGTTTTGCCTTGTCTATTATTCATTATCGTTTCAAAGACAAAAGGAATAACAAAAAGCAAAACAATGCGCAAAGACACTTTTAAACAATGAGAGGCATAGAAAGACATTATAATATACATTTTGTAGTGGCCAAGATGACGCGGCAAATATCACCGATGTTAAATATTAACTTTCAAAGGCCTTAAGGCAACTCGTCCAAAATTCTAACCCATGTGTTCATATACTTGTCTTGTTGCTCAAAACAAACCTTTTATGCTGTATCCGGATGATCAAGGTCAGCACGTTTTTATCACAGACAAGTCACACAAGGAAACTGGAACAAACGTGTTGTAATCAGGGGGTACCAACGACCGAATGTTTCCAAATACACCAGAAGTGTCTCAGATGGTTTTCTCTATACTTTAAGAGCCTGTTTGGTTAATTTGGAGTTGTCTGTTAGAACTATTTATCTGTTCGGATGTCTTGGGGGAACTTTGGTCGTCACGCAAGTTTTTGGTGGCTTTTTCGTCTCATCCGAAAGTGTTAGCTACCCTTATGGGTCCGGTAGAAAGTTCGAGGACATGAAGTACGTTTTGTCTTTATACCGAAAGTTTTAGGCGACCTTTTTTAAAATAATCGCAATATCTCGGTGATAAAATGTGTTTAACATAACCTCCGAAAATCGTAGTTAAGCTATTAGAAAACCTCCGAATATTTTAGACGAATGGAACGGTTATCCAGGAAAATTTAGCTTTTCTCAAGCTTTAGAAATTTCTAGGCAATATTTGCTCCTTTGAACAGTTATTTTACAGAAAAAGTCGCTGAGTGTCCCTGTGTAATGAAGACTTAAGGTAGCCTGTGTACAGACGTCCTCCCTCCCTCAGAAAAAGGATATTAGGGAACTTAAGCAAAGATGTTTTTGAGTGACGCACGTCAACCGGAAGTGAGGCCTTCTCCCTTCTCATATACCTTGACGCTAACAAATTTGTACTGCAAAGTTTATTTTCTCTTTTAAGACAATTTACCCGAGAGGTTTAACCAAACCGCTCAGGGGCACCCAACAACAGTTTCCTCTTAAATACATTGAAAACAATTTTAAAGCTATCCAAAGTACTTATGGATCTTTAGAAATACATTCTAAGTGGCTCTATAAAATTTGTATCTGTTTGGTCATCCTAGGGGAACTTGGATCTTTTCGAAATTATAAGGGCTTGAGCTTTATTTTCCCGGAAAATTTTAGATGCAATTTGACGTATTACGAAAATGAAACATTTTCTGATTCCTCTCTCTATCACATTTTTGAATCCCGAAAATTTTTAGGTGTCCTTTTTTTCTCAGAAAAAAATAGGCTCACTTGGGAAGTGAAATGTGAAAATTCAACTCCAGAAAATCGTAGGGGATATATTAGATAAGCCAAAAAAATTTTAAATGAATGGAATAGTTATCTAGAAATTTTTAGCCTTCCTAAAGAGATGGAAATTCTAGGCAATATTTGCTTCTCCGAACAGATATTTTACAGAAAACAGTCGTTGGGTGCCGCTGCAAACCAGTACCCAATGATGCAAGAACCGCACTTCCGGTTGACGTTCCTCGCTCAAAAACGCTATTGCTTACTGTTAAGCGCCCTATTGTTGCAAGTTGCTCTAGTTAAATCCGGCTCGAAGTCATTACTCGGTGTCTTTATAGGCATAACTAAATGTTCCTTTAGAGTTAAGAAGATATATAAAAAGAAATTTATTGTGGAGCCTTCTTCGGTGATTTTTGCCGGCATAGCATTGACCGAGGCATGGAGAAATTGGTCCAACTTTTTTAAGTTCCAATTCATTTCCTTTCTTGTCATACGTTGTATCAGCCGAAAGTAAATGCCTAAAATAAAATACAGCCTTAAATGAAAAAACTGGACCATGATTTTGAAATTTAATGGATGGGAAAAAAGTGTTATATACCTAGTTTAGCTTCAATGGCTGGATGGTGCCGCTATATCCTTTGTTAACTTAATCCTTTTACATTATCCTTTTATTTAGTGTAGTTGCGTGCGCGCGCTCTCTTTACTTGTTTAATTGACGTGTGTACTTATTTCGCAATTTCAAAGTTTTAAAATTTTAAGATTGAAGATGTCAGGACATTAAAAGACGCTTTGGAAAACCTAAACACACGAGAAGGATCCTCACGGTCTCTAATTACCGGAATAATCTTACCCCCCAAAATCCCGAAAATGTGCGATCCCATTCTAGTAACTCAACTGAAAATGCAACCCCATTATAATCAATACAGTCGTGAAAATGCCACTCCATCCAGCGGCACATCCCCATTAGCCCATGACTAGGAAGTAGCCCCCCCCCCCCCCCCGGGGCCCAACCCCCCTAAAAAATTAGAAAAATTCACCCCAAAAGAAAGAAATAAAAAAAATATGTGGGGGTGGGTGCAAAAAAAAAAAAAATTTTTTTTTTTTTTTTTACAAAAAAAAAAAAAATTTTTTTACAAAACACAATATATTTTTTCTTCTTTCTCTCTGACTCTTTGTAACCCCCCCCCCCCCCCCGGGGGACAAAGCCCCTTAAAAAGTTTGAAAACTTGCCATCAGAAGCAAGGTACTAAATAAATTAGGTGCGGATCGTGCAAAAGAACTCAATACTGTTTTTTTTTTCTCCAGAAAAAAAAAAAAGTTTCGTCGGAAAACACATAACGTTTTTCTCCTAGTGTCACCTGGGCTCTTTATTACACGCGGTTTAGAGTTTTCGAGTTAAATAACTGCGATTTAAGAGCAGGCTATCTCTGGTCCCTATTTATTATTTATCAAAACCTGCTTGTTCAGAGTACAGATCAAAAGACAAATTGAAGGCCTCGTGGAATTAAGTTCTTTTGATCGTGCTTTATGAATGAATTAACTAAAGGTTAATAATGCTCCACATGACTTTGTAAAAACAGGTACCAAACATACCATGATAATCTGTCTTTTATCTTAGGGTTAGCTATGTAAGCAAAACAGAAACAGTCAAGAATACAAACACAAAATGGGTTCTTTCTCTCTTTTAGTATCCCAAAGCATTGTTTCTGGATCTCTGATAATTTCCCCCGAAACTGAAGGCCGTTTGTTTCTACACAAAGGGAAACAATTTCTTTTGGCTGAAATAAAAAGAAAGTAAATTCGAAGGAGCTGTTTGCGCGCAGAATTCTATTTTATAACCTGTTCATATCAAATTTTTAATATTGTTAAATTTGGTTAATTTAACGACCCGTTTACACCACACGTGGGTTAAAACACTTTCAAAGCCAAGGTGAAGTCAAAGCAGACATCCTTCAAGAGTTTCATGTTAGGGCCAATAGTTTAAATTTAGAAGGGAGAACGGATATTAAGACCCTCGGGCTAAAAATGAGTCACCGAGAGAGGGCTAAGAGAGTTCTTTGTCAGGAGGAAATTGTGGACCATTTGGAACAACTTGTGTAAAAATGGTTCCACAAGAAGCTAATTAAAAGAGCAGATTGTTGACCAATGCCAAACAAGACCTCATAGCACCAAGAAAGTCTTTGAAATTAAAATAAATATAACGTTAATTTTAGACAAAGATATCACAACGCAATAATCATCAATTCGAAAAATTTTTCTTCATTTATTGTAATTTAATATCAAGGATATAAAGATAAAATTTTTACACTTAAATATAAAAATATTTTACCAGCTGAAAAGTTGATTTTATTAAGACCTACTTTGCTCAAGTTAATAGTAAGAGAAATTTAGAATCTTGTTTACGCAAAACGGCAAACGTCAATTTGCACCACGTGACTAAGTTTTCCCTTTATTTGTCGTTTACTTACTACACAGAAATTAGTGAATTCATGCCAGTTTCATCCTTACGAATTGTTATCGACAATTTTTAGCCGCTTGTTTCCTTAATTGAGAAACAGTACCAACTTGAAACTGACGTTTGCCCTTAGCCGTAAACGCGATTCTAAATTTCTAAAATTCCTAAATTCAAAAATCAGACAGTCACGTCATAAACGGAACCCAAGATGGCTTAAAACTCAGGGACATTTCACTAACTATGTCAGCTTTGGCATTATGTGTTTGCTAGTCGCCTCTCTTTTAAGTCCCGGGTCAGGGCTCCCTATTAGATCTGCACTTTATTTTTTTCTTTTCACTTGGAAAATCCTATTTGAACCTTTTAACCTTTTCTCTCCGTAGATGAGTCTTGTTAACTGGTTTTAGCTTTTGAGTCTGTGGACGAAACCCTGTAGTGTGACTATTCAATCGAAAAGTCTTTGGCAGTAACTTTCACATGCTATCATTTGTCTTTGTACATTTTTGCAAAATGAAAGCATAATATTCGAAACTCGTAGGTCAGTACGGTCAGCGGTCAGCTAAAATTAGAAAAGATACAAGAAGTAATAATAATAATAATAATAATAATAATAATAACAAATAAAAATAGTAATTTATTATCATTATTATGATAATAAGAACTTTGCTGACACTTTATTATTCAAGGCTTGAAGCCTTTGTCTCAGCACAATTGCCTCACTAAACTATCCGTTAAGTTCGCTTCTCTCTTGATGCAAACGCTGGCAACAGAACTCTTCATCAAAAATCCCAAGGCCGCATTCATCATTCGCATGGGAAGTGTTCTTTTCATTCCAAAATTAAAATCTGCTGGTGAATTGAGCTTCTTTTGTTTTCTCGTCAATCAGTCTTAAACTTTAAACTCCATCTTCTTGTTTTTACGTGAATTTATTTGACTGTAATTTATCATTATGGCATCCGCACATTTCAATTTCGCTCGTCAACCTTTTTTTGGTTTCGTAATTTCTCCCGAAGCTCAGAAACAAGCATTTTCTCTTTATAAATCCTTTCCTTCGATTCTTCAACACTCATGTTTGAGTATCTAAACGATTGCTGTCTGGAAGGCGGCATTCGTTCCCGCTCAGGTAAAGCCGGCGTTATTCTTTCGTCAGGAAAAGAAAACATGTCAGGGTTAAGAAGTTCGTTCATACTCCGTGTTGGCGTATGGTTTGTCGGACTGTAGGGAGGTTGAGAGTGCGATTCATTCAAACTATTCACTGTATCGATTATTTTAACTTCCATTGCTCGAGGAATTCGCATGTGATCGACAAATGATGACGAAAACATGGCTCTTGAATTGATATTGCCGTTATGTAGATAGTCGATGAATGCTTTTGGATAGTCTTCTATGAGATATTTTGGCTGATTTTGCTGCGGGCAAGGTCTGAAACAAAAAAAACAACAACATTTTTTTGTATAAATAAACGTCATTTATTTCACGGTGCTAAAGATGATTGTTCTCTGTTTTATACCGCGATGTATCATTGTCATCGTCATCGTCAACATTGTCATCATGATTATCATCATAACCATTATTACGTCATCTGGACATCTTCATTATAACCAACAACAACTTTATTACCATCATCGCCATTATCATTATCATCATCATCATCGATACCAGCCAGGGGACAACAACGTGAACAACAACATCAATAAAAACTCTATATTCTATATAATGAAACCCCCAGAAACTATCAAACGATCATCATTGTCATCAGATGTCGGAGGTTTTGCCAATTTCTTATCAAAGGGGCTATTTTCACGGCTGTTAGTATTGGCAGTAANCTTCGATTCTTCAACACTCATGTTTGAGTATCTAAACGACTGCTGTCTGGAAGGCGGCATTCGTTCCCGCTCAGGTAAAGCCGGCGTTATTCTTTCGTTAGGAAAAGAAAACATGTCAGGGTTAAGAAGTTCGTTCATACTCCGTGTTGGCGTATGGTTTGTCGGACTGTAGGGAGGTTGAGAGTGCGATTCATTCAAACTATTCACTGTATCGATTATTTTAACTTCCATTGCTCGAGGAATTCGCATGTGATCGACAAATGATGGCGAAAACATGGCTCTTGAATTGATATTGCCATTATGTAGATAGTCGATGAATGCTTTTGGATAGTCTTCTATGAGATATTTTGGCTGATTCTGCTGCGGGCAAGGTCTGAAACAAAAAAAACAACAACATTTTTTTGTATAAATAAACGTCATTTATTTCATGGTGCTAAAGGTGATTGTTCTCTGTTTTATACCGCGATGTATCATTGTCATCGTCATCGTCAACATTGTCATCATGATTATCATCATAACCATTATTACGTCATCTGGACATCTTCATTATAACCAACAACAACTTTATTACCATCATCGCCATTATCATTATCATCATCATCATCGATACCAGCCAGGGGACAACAACGTGAACAACAACATCAATAAAAACTCTTTATAATGAAACCCCCAGATACTATCAAACGATCATCATTGTCATCAGATGTCGGAGGTTTTGCCAATTTCTTATCAAAGGGGCTATTTTCACGGCTGTTAGTATTGGTAGTAATGCTTTTTATTCGCTATAAAACTTAACTTTAGGGAAAAAGTTATTTGTAAATGATAAAGTTGCAGCTTTTTGCCCAACATTTCAAATTGTACAAACAACAAAAAGAAAGAACGAATCCACGCCTTTCTCCTCACACATGTTGTTTTAAAGTGTAGTATAATCCACGCGGCCGCAGTTGTCTGTAGAAAATTTTCCTAGTGTATTGTTGAATTGGCACTTTTATCAAGTGACCAGCATAAGCGAACGCGATCGTTCACGTGGTATACAGTGCCTTCCACTTGCTCTCGTCGCGTAATTCAAATACCAAAATTTTAGCGCATTGTTTATTATTTTAAAAATTTCTGCTTGCATAGATACCTTTGATTGCCTCTCTTCTTTTGACAGCAGATGACATAGCTGTAGTAAATAGCAACTATGACCAAGATAATAACAAGAAAACCAGCGATGCACCATACCAAGACAATACCGTATGGAATATCTTTCAAAAAAAAGGCAAGATACATTTTTAATTAGAACATGAATAGGCTCCGCTAGTTCATTGGGTTAATATTACCTATAACGCGACTTTTTTTCGCTAAGGATCTTGACATTAGTGCCTGGAATGTACTTTTAACTGTCAAGTTCACAGCTTCGAAAATGAACTTTGAAAAAAAAAACTGTTAGGCCAAGAAGTTTTCAAAAATCGAAATCGTAATCCGTTTTAATCTTCGTTAAGTTTGTCCATCCATAACTTCTTTTAATATTTTGTGTCGTTATTTTTATTTATGTTTTTATTTGGTGGCAGCTCTCACTGTTTGAAGTTTGCTAAAATTCGTTACACCGTGGCTCCTTTAATTCTCCACCTTTCTAAATCCTCTACCATAGACAAACTACACGGGTTTTTAACTTTGAAAAAAATGCGGATTTAAATAAGGGTGTAGTAATTTAACTGCAAAGTTGTGCTGCATCGCGGAAAAGTATACTTTCCGAAAGATAAAAGATGATGAAATAATTGGGGGAACTAACACCGGAAAATGAACAGTGCAATTTGCAAAAGATTTCTATTGATATCAGTGGCGGATCAAGACATTCAGATAAGGGTGGGGGCGGTCATCCAGACGCTGAGATAAGGGAGATGCCCGGTCTCAAAAAAACATTTTTTCGGCCCTTCGGGCCTCAGTTTAGTCTAAAAATAAGGGGGGGGGGCACCCTGGGCCCCTCCCTTAGATCCGCCACTGGATATTAACACGAAAGATGTGTTGAACACAAATGGCTTAGTCGAAGGAAGTTTATGAAAAGTACTTAATTTCCGCAAGGAAGTTTTCGTCCTGATCCTGCTCTAAACACAGGCCCTCTTAGGGAAGTACGTATGTCCTTAGTCTAAATTTCAAAACCGCGCGCGCGGGTCGTTTCGCGTAACGAGGAGGAGGCCATGTCGCTGTCGGTATTTCACTCATTATATTTGCTATTGTCCTCGCTGCTGTCGCATTTTCAACCCATCTACATGTCGTTTGTTGCTATTTCATCAGTTTTAAGGTGACGTTACACGGGACGATTTGCAACGACGATGTTTAGCGCAACACAACGTTACAACATTGTTGCGACATCGTTTCGAAAGGCTGCAACATTGTTCCAACATTTGAACCCTGTGTTGCGCTAAAAATCGTCGTTGCGAATCGTCTCGTTTAAAATCACCTTTATGTCGCTGTTTCAAGCCATGTATTTTGTCTAAAGGGCTCTAAATATTCATTTATTCATGCTTTCGAGTTTTAGTGACTTCATGTGTATACTCATACATATAATATCACCTTTTGCTTCAGTTGTCGGCGAGATAGTTGTCCCATTTGCCATAGCAACCTTAAGGAAAGAAAAAAATCAACAAAACGTTTCATTTTTATACTACATGTCATATTTTTACGTACAACACAATCGTCTTAACTCAGGTCGGGTAGTAATGTCCATAGGATTGAACTCACTAAAACTAGTTTGACTCGTCCAAAACCAGTGTGTTTGTAAGTAGTTTGTTAATGGGTTCATTTTACTCCATCTTTAACTTTAGTCAATTATAACTGCTTCTGCTATTTTAAGCGTCTACTTCCGCAGGATATAGTGGCCTCCGGTAGCAGCCGGCTCCCCCATTATCAAAACCATTAGTGTAGTCAAGGGTACCCAACGATGGTTTCCTCCTAAATGCATTGAAAACACTTTTTAGGCTATCCAGAGTACTTTAAGATCTTTAGAAATACGTTCTAATCGGCGCCATAAAATTTATATCTGTTCGGTCGCCCTAGGGCAACTTAATAAGTCTTTTCGAAATTACCAGGGCTTCAGTATTATTTTCCCGAAAATTTTAGATGCAATTTAAAGTTTTACGAAAGTGAGACTTTTTCTGATTCCCCTTTCCATCACATTTTCGAATCCGAAAATTTTAGGTTTCCTTTTTCCGCAAAAGAAAAAAGCTTAATCCGGGGGATGAAATGCGAAGAATTAAACTTCAGAAAATCGTAGGGAATTTATTAGATAAGCTTAGAAAATTGTAGGTGAATGGAACGGTCATCTAGAAATCTTTAGCCTTCCTCAAGGTACAGCAAATTGTACGCAAGTTTTGCTTCTCCGAACATACTGTCGTTGGATACCCCTGTATAGTGTAGTCTATTCAGAAGGTTTCGAGTGCCTGCGACGCAGGCAAAGGATATCACTGTTTTAGGTCATATCTGTGCTGAAGTCATTGCTTGCCTTTTGATATATACAAAATGCTCCCAGCCTTGTAGAATTAATCAAAAAATTTTCACTAAGGAGCACTATAAACCTTCAGTAATAACTGTTTAGGTGATTTTTGCAGGTTATATAGCATTAAAACTTGAAAATGTGTTTCAATGCATGTCCATCTTTGCCATCCATCGAAACAGACAACGGGAAACAGAATTCAATGCTTAAAAAAAATTCTTAAATGACAAACCAGGACCATTATTTTTGGAATTCAATTGCCGCGAAAACAAGTTTTCAGCTTTTTTCAAAATAAAGCAAATGGGGTGACATATAGGTGGCTTTAATTATAACTACTTCTGCAATTACATTGTAAAGGTCACTTTGTGATGGCTATCTTGAGAATCTGCATCTGATGTGCGTGTGATGCTGATCGACATTTGGCGCTTATAGGAAAATTTATTTGCAAATAGGGTTTTTTTTATCCCTCTTCTTCGTGTTGAGTTGTTTTTGTAAGCTTTTGTAACCGTGTGGGCCTACGACTTGGGGTGGCATTTATTCACATTATACCCGATACCCTTTAGGGAACTTGTGCCGGCCCATGTGACCAGGTATCCATGTGAGCGTCACTTACCGGAGAAAAGGCATAAAAATAGAGGCGACCGCACCGAAGGTCAACTGTCAATAGGCAATTTTCATTGTCACAATAACCTTGCCTGCTTCGCAAACACTCTAAACCTGCTATGTATAAATTGTCTAGAAGATGCGGGGGCCGGCTGCAATACAGGCTACAATAACCTTGCAATGAAATAGTTTTTAATTTTCAGTCTGTGAGAGAAAGACTTAACGTAGGACTGCTTTTATTATATTACACAAACATTCATAGAAGTAAAAAGTTTGAAAAAAAAAGTTATCAGCCCCATAATTTACGGTCTTCCCAAATGAAAACGCAGTTTAGAGTTTGCAACGATATGTTAAGAATACATGTGTGAATTGAGCCCTTCTCGAGCACTTTGTATTTGTTAACAGTCAACACACATAAGGGTGTTTTTTTTTTTAAGTAATGGACCATCCAAATTAACAAGCACAACCGCATATTATTCTTTTTTCAATGATGTTTTTTGTACTAAATATATACTATGTTTGTTGCGTTCTTAATTTTACTGAACAGCGAAAGAAAGTTGTTATTTTATAACTACTCCACTCACTTCCAACGTTAACTAAGCCTCTCTTGTTGTCATTTTAATAGCAAAATAACAAAAATTTATTCAGTACCGCAAAATTGTAAATAACATGAAGAACAATGAAAACAACTTCGCGATCCGCGAGTTAACTCTACAACTTCAGAACAAATTTGAGGCTCTTTGTCCTCTAGAAATAACTAGTATTTTTCTTTAACACATTGTTTAAGGAAGGCAGTTATATCTTGCTTTCGTAAAATCATTCGGAGAAACATATCAACCAATTTATCACTAAACTTCATTATCAAATCTGCGCGACATCGTGGCAAAAATTTTAAAAATGGTTGAGGTGAAAACAAGATGATTTTTTTAGTTAAAGATAGCTTCCTGTTGCGTTTCGCTACCGTCCTGAGTCTAATTATCAATTTATCTCATTCATCGTCTTAGTGTATTTCTAATAAACTAAACTTTGCGTTTGTAGAGAAATAACACATTTATAATTCAACACTAATAATTTGAATTTTACTTTCATTATAGCGTATTTAAATTTTCGCCTTATAATTTTTTTTTATCCTTGCGCCTTTTTGCATTCATATTCTTTTAGTATTAAATTAATTTTTGCCGAAATGTCCACATTTAAGAAATAAATCAACGCTTATGTTATTCTACCGCTAAAATTCGTAAATTTGTTGCCTTTAGCGCCAATATTCCTGCAAGTTTTGATGTCATTAAATCCGATTAACGCTAACGTTTCACTTACCTCACGTTTAGCCACTCACGTAAAATTCCATGACGCGGTTGATGATTCAGGCTCCCAATTCCGATCGCGAATATCAATGAAAAAATAAATGCAAGGGATAGCTGCTTACCATAGAGATCCTTTGTTGAGTGTACTTTGCAAAACTACTTCGAGAAATTTAAAAATGAGGATGGCCAGTAGTTTTTTTAATCCTTCCTTGCAGTTACGACAATCAAACCACAGCCGGTTCTTACTATAACCTGCTGATTAAAATTCGGACTGGGATTAAATTGCTATAGATTTTTCCCTTGGTCGGTCAGGCGAATATAGCCCAGCATGATTCAGCGATAATCAACGTCCAATATTATTCGGTGTGCTGGCTTTTAACCACCACGAGAAAAAATATTTACCCAAAATTTCGTTGGTGCCGAGACAGTCGAGAGAGTTATAAATGAACAGACGCTTTCAAAACAGTGTTCATGATTTCTGCTTGAAAGGAAAAATAATAAAGGAACGGAAGCGAGCCCGCGAGGATTTGCGATTATTCGTGGCCAATCAGGTTTTCAAGTGTTGTTCATTAAAAAAAAGTATAATTATAGTATTTTTCCTGAAAGCGGCGAGCAACGTCGCTGGCTGCGTCGTTGAAAACAATTCACAGCCGGCAGGTGATATCACCAAATATGGAATAAGACAAAGCGTTCAAAACATGGTTGGTGAGAACTGAAAGTTCCGAATGAAAATGCATTAGCATCGTCTTCTTAAGAATTAAATGCTTCTTAGATACTCGACATTTTTCTTTAGCTAATACCGTCATTTTCAATTGGCATTAGGTTGTAAATTATCTCTCTTAGTTTTGTGTAATTAAAATGGTATGCTTTTGCCATAATATCGCGTTTTAAACCGAACATGATTTGCATTCAGTTCTTTATTTCGTAAACAATTCATTTTCAAGAAAACATGTTTGGTCTATGATTTTTCCTGTGCATGACTTGCAGGTAGATCTTGGCAGTGAGGATCGAATGGTAGAATTTGCAGCTTTAAAATTTTGATAGAGACTGATAATATTATTTACAGCAAAAACTTGTTGAAACTCAATTTTAACTTGCTATTTTCCTTCTTCAGGTCGTATTCCTTACGTAATTTTTCTTTTATTTGCTCTCTACATTTCAATAGTA